CCGCCGCGGCCGCCGCCGCTGCAGACAGCAAACGCACCTCCTCTTGTGGCGGCGCTGCCGACGGCGAGCAGCAGCAGCAGCTCAAGGACGAGGGCGTGCTGGATGCGCTCGGCGGCCTCCTGCAGCGCCACGCCGACGCGCGGCCCGACGCGCTGCAGAAGCAGTTCGAGGCGGCCGTCGTGCAGTTCGTCCGCGGGGAGTACCGCCTCGCCGCCGCCGCGCTGACCGAGGCCGCGGCGCGCGCGCGCGCGGCCGGGCGGCTCGAGCTCGCGGGGGATGCCATGCGGTGGCTCGGCCACGCGCACAACCGCCTCGGCGCGCCGGGCCGCGCGGCGGCCGCGTTTGCCGAGGGCGCGGCCGTCGCGGCGCAGGTGCAGTCCAAGCGGCTGCAGGTGGACTGCCTGTCCGGACTGGGCATGACGCACCGCGCGCAGCTGCAGCACGCGGAGGCCGTGTCGTTCCTGCGGCAGGCCCTGGCGGTGGCGGAGGTCATGGAGGGGCCGGCGGCGGGGCCGGCGCGCGCGAGCGTGATGACTAACCTGGGGTCAGCCCTGATGGGGGTTGACCCGGAGGAGGCGGCGCGGCTGCTGCGGGAGGCGGTGGCGCTCAGGGAGGCGCAGGTGGGTGCGCGTGAGCGGCTGCGGCGGTGTAGATGTGTGCCAGAAGGTGACGGTGTGTTTGTGTGTGTGTGTGTGCGCCTGCGTGTGTGCGCGCGTGCGTGTGTGTGTGTGTGTGTGTGTGTTCAGATGCTGAGACGAGGCGCTTGTTGCTTGCCGCGCGCAGCGAGCTTGCATGGGTTTGAGGAGTGAAGGGAACTGTACGTGCAGGGGGGTCACGTGCATGCGGCACCGCTGCACTGGTGTCGCGAAAGCAGGGGCGCGCCGAATGCACGCTCGCATGCTGTTCCAGGTCGCCGGCACCCGGGCCAGGCCTTGCCACGCGTGCGTGCGCGGGCCGCACCCAATCCGCCGACGCCCTCAAATAGCCGCACGGCACACCGCCACCCGACAACGGTCCCACCTGTCGACGGCTCGACTCGAACGCGCGTCACAGGTGGTGGAGCTCCACAACGCCGGCGAGAAGAACGGCATCGCCACCGCGATCATGGAGCACGCGTCCGCCCTGGTCAACCTCGCGGGCGCGCTGTACGTCGGCCGGCGGTACGGCGAGGCGCGGGACGCGTACAGCCAGAGCCTTGAGGTTTTCGAGCTGGTGGGGGACGGCGACAAGATCGCCAAGGCCCTGGTCAACCTGGCAAATCTGCACGAGTTGCAGGTGGGCGGTTTTTTAGTCACAGTCGCTTTGGGGAAGAGCAGAGGGCCGGTGAGGTGGGGCCGGGCGCGCGCTGATGTGCGTGGGGGTCGGAGCGTCAAGGGGCGTGGGTTGGGGTTTGATGAGTTGCAGGCACGGGGCGGGTCGGTGTGGGCGCACGGGCACCTGTCTGCGCTGAGGCCGCATGGCGGGTGCAGTGCGGACGGTCGCGAGGTCAGAAAGAAGTGTCAAACTCGTCCACACCCCACAAGTTTTGCAGCAATTCGCTCAGCCCTCACTTGACGCCCACGTGTCACTCCACTCCCCTGCTTCCGCAGCTCGAGGAGCCCGGGGCGCTCGAGGCCGCCGCCGGGTACCGCTCCCGGCTGTACGGCCTGGCCAAGAAGATGATCGACCGGGACCCCCCAGAAAGCTGCGCCATCTGCATGGAGGCCATTGAGCCACTCAGCGCCAGCCGCCCCGCGGCGGCCGCCGCCGAGGCGGCGCATGCGGCTGCTGGGGCCGGCGGCCGGGGCGGCGAGGCGGGGGCGGGCGCCGCGGCGGAGGGCGGCGACGCGGACGGCGCGGCGGCGGCGGAGGGCGCTGGGGAGGCGGACGGCGCAGCTGCGGCGGCTGAGGGCGCGGCGGCCGAGGGGGCATCGGCTTCAGCCGACCAGGGCGCCGCGGCGGCGGACGGCGCTGCGGTGGACGACGTCAGAGAAAGCTCTGAGGGCGTCTCGGCAGAGGGCCCCGGTGCCGCCCCCGCGGACGGCGCCCCGGCCGCGGCTGCTGCGCCCGGGGGCGTGCCCAAGGCGGCCAAGGCGAACCGCCTGATTGTGCTGGCGTGCCTCCACTGCTACCACCACGGCTGCTGGGACGCCTGGACAGACCGCAGTGAGAACGCCAGCTGCCCCTCCTGCAAGCAGCCAGTGCCGTTGTACTAGCCGTCAACCCGCGCAGCCATCCCCACGCCGTGTTGACTCATGTGCGGCGTGGCGGGGCGCGGCCGGTCACACTGCAAAGTGTGTGTGCTGTGATAGATGAGGGGGAGGGCAGAGACCACCATGCGCACGCGCTGCGCCACAGTCGCAGCGCCTGAGTGTTGCGGCATGGGCTGGCTGTTTGGATCCCAGAGCGTGTTTGCGTTGCAATTGTAGGTGTTTCTAGTGATATGACGGTCACTTGCATTTATCCAGGTTTGTGTGACGCACCAAACTGTCACCTCACTTATGCTTGTGAGAACCCAACGCCGCCGAAATCGGGCGACTTGATGCGCGATTTGCGTCGTTTGATCTGCCACTGCAACTGCCAGCGTTGACCCATGCGGGACCCATCTCGTCGCGCCATGCGGGCGAGGAGGACCTGTCGCGCACCCCCTTGTGCTGCATGGCGCGTTTGAGCTCGTTGTTTGCGTGTTCAGCATTAACCATAGGCGCCCGTTGTTGAGGCGGAACTTTTTGCAACAATGCTTCATGCTGCGGCGAAAGCGCAATGAATCCGCAGCACACCTCCCGGCAGGAGCTGGTGCCCAACTCACACACCTCAGCTGTCTGGCACATCGGGCGCACCAATCTGGTGCGTGCGGGCAGTGGCAACACCAGGGGGAAAGCAGCGCACGCGTATGTGGGGGCAGCCGACAGTGCCAGGCGGGACACGGGGGCAGAAGATTGAGTCAGGCCCGTCGCAAAAGCGCACCCTTGAGAGACCGCTCCTGCCGACCCCAGCAAGAGTGGTTTAGCATAGGTGCCGCGACAGCGCTCCGTGCGTGTGCCAGTGAATGGGGCGGGCGCACCCGGTTCGCCCGCCCCCCCGGCCCCGCGCGCGCATCTGCCCGACGGCCTCCTGCATCAGGGCTGCGGCTGCCGTTGCAAGGGACTGCGTTGCCTTTGTTATTGCTAGGGGCTGCACCACGCAATGTGGAGCCACCACCCTGTGGCAGCCCGGACTCTTCCAACCGAATGCGGTTTCCGACCGCTTACCGTGCATGTGTCACATGTACCCCCTCATATTCAACCTGCCTTCCATCTGCAGGTCTGTTTTGAGGCGTGCACAGGCGTCCGATCCCCTCCTTTCTGCGCCGCACCCGCGCCACCGCAGCAGCCGTGAAGCTTGGTGTTCAGCCAACACTGCGACGCCGCGACCCACTCCACCCTCTCCTGCGCTGACACAAGCCGCTGTCAGGACTCCTGCACGCCAGGATTACTGCGAGCCCTGCCTGCCGCCTGCATATCATTACATGCGCTGTCCAATGCACCGCCCCCCGCGCCACCACATGACGTCACGCCGCGTCATCCAGGCCCTCGGCCAGCGCCAGCCGCCGCCGCGTCTTCGCGTCGATGCACCGCTCCACGGTGCCCGCCGCCGCCGCGCGCGCGACCGCGCGCGCAGAGTCGTGCCTGAAGCGCGCCTGCAGCGCGCGGACGAGGGGGTAGCCCGCGAAGGCCAGGGGGTGGGCGGGGCGGGAGAAGGTGTAGATGTCGTACCTAAGGGGGGTAGTGGGGGTGGCCAGGGGCGTGGGGCAAAGGGAGGTTGTTTCCGAGGTGTTGTCGAGAGTACAGGAGGAGGCGTCCATTGGTGGGGGCCCAATGAGGTCGGGCCGTACGTTTCTAGGGGGCATGGCCGCGCGATCATGGAGTTTGTGGCGGCTGGCAGGGCTCAGGCCGGCAAGCCCCGGGGGCAGATGCCCAACCCGTGATGAGGTCACGCTGATGTCACCATCCCAGACGGCCCCTGGCACCCACCAGACAGAGTCGTCGCTCTTGTCCCATTCCACCTTGAACCGCTCCTCCCCCGCCAGGAAGTGGCTCCTGAGGCAGCCACACGCGTAGCTAAACTCGCGCCCGTGGCGCCGCCGCCGCACGCGCTTGTCGGGCGCTGCGCCCGCGCTGCCACTGCTGCCGCCACTGCTGCCGCCGCGGTCAGCGCTGCTGCCGCGCTTGCTGCCGCCGTCCTCGTGCCAGCTGCCCTCCTGCGTATATCTGCATGTGTGACGAGGAGCCGAGCGGCGGTGTGGGCGTGAGCTTGCTGGCACGTTTGATGAGCTCGCACAGGCAGCAACCACCACCCATTGCATCCGATGTCAATTTCAGACGCTCATGAGCCCGTGCTGCGACAGACTCCACTCTGCTGCCGCGTCCCGCAGCAGGCGCGCTGATGCAGCACCGCGCGGCCCCAGGCTGCAACAGCATGGCTGCCTCCTGCATCCGCTCGTGCGCGCGCGCGTGCACGTCCACTCACAGCAGCTGGAGGGGCACCGCCGTCCACAGGCCCAGCACGTTGGCGGCGACGCAGACCGGCGCGCCCGCCTTGATGGGGGTGTCCGGCCGCACCTGCGCCCAGGGCAGCTGGAACTGGCCCCAGCTGCCCAGCAGGTCCTTAGTCGCGTCGTAGGTCTTTCGGCCGTATCCGATCTGGGTGTGTAAGTATGGAGGGGGCAGGACCGCCACGCACCAGGTCAGTGGGAGAGCGGCAGCATCGGTGGCGCATGCATTTGTGCGGCGGCATGGGTGGCGCATGCATTTCAGCGGCGGCATGGGTGGCGCATGCTTTTGAAACAAAAGGATGGGCGTTGGCTGCCATCCAGCTGTATCGCGCCGTACAGCTCAGTGCACCGCGCGACGTGCAACAAAGCACGTTTCCTCTACCCTGCGTATAATCATGCTGCTGCACCAGTATTCTACAGGGCCTCGCCTTGATGCGCTGGTGGTCCACCTTCCACCAGCCGTCCTCCTGCGCCGCCTCCGGCAGCGGCGGCGCGCCCCGGGAGCTGCCGTGGCTTTTGTAGTTGAAACCCAAGCTGCAGAAGATGCGTCAGAGATGGCGTACAATGGGACGCTGCCGAGTCTCAATGAGGAGAGCTGCCAGGCAAGCGCGCATGCCACCTGCAAGGGCGTGTGGAGCGGCAAGTGCTCACGCAGCGAACACACCGCACCTTTGGCCCTTGCTGGTGACACGAGCCTCTTCTTCCCGCGTTGGTTTGAATAGAGACACGAAGAACATATCCATCGCGCAGCAAGGTGTGCTGAGACTATCAACGGATCTGGACTGACCCAGTATTGGATCCTTTTGCCCTAAGAATCACCAACGGCTTCCGCCAATGTGACCAATAATGAATTTCTGGACAAGCTCGTGGGCGTAAACGTGGCACTCCATCGTCACGATGTGCACGCTGACTCGACTGCACTTGCCAGTTGCCGCCCCTAGTGCAGTCTGCAGACAAGTGCTGCACATGCACACCGGCAGGGTACAAACCGTCGGCTTTTCCTTGGGGGAACCTTGGGTTTTGGCTGCTGCCTGTGTTATGCAACGTGCTGGGCGTGGGCGCAGGGCGCTCGGGGCGTCCGGAGGGGCCGGGGGCAGGTGGAGGGCGGGCGGACAGGCGCACGGCGCGCGGGCGGGCAGGGCGCGCGGGGTCGCGGGGGCCTGCGGCGTGCCGAGCGTGGTCCACACTGATCTTGCACAAACTCTGAGAACCACAAACTGCCATGCTTGTTGCCTGACAGTGTTAGTGCAACGTAACGTCTTACTCAACAACCAACAGCACCAAAGAAAAATGCTTGTGCTTTGCACAATTCTGCTACCCCAACGTCAATGCACCACTTCAGCATCACACTGGTGTGCTGTGCTTCCAACAGCAGTCAAGTGGGCCGCCTGTCCGCCGAAAGCAGCGCCATGGCCGGCGGGGATTGCCGGGGAGCCAACATACGCAAACAAATGCTCAAGGTTGACAGGCACGTGACCATAGGGGCACCGACACACGAAACACAACATCGCTCACGATCCCACACCCAACATGCATACAGCACAGCAGGGCTGCATGGGTGGCAGCCCCCCTTCCCCTGACCAACGGTAAACCCTAAACCCTGCAAGCAACCCCTCCAGCGAGCCAATGGCGACACGACCTGGGCAAAGACGCTCACGCTGTGCAAAGTCTCAGTCCTGATCATGGCTAATAAGCTACACGTGGTGATGAATCAAGTAGAAGTGCGTGCGTCGAAAGATCGGCCAGCAGCCCCGATCCGCACAGCCGCCGCAGCAATCACTCGGCGCCGGCAGTGCCTCTCGAGCCCCGCCCGCGCCGCCTCCCAGCAGCAACCGGCGGTCCCCCCTGCCTCGCCGCGCCCGTCACCCCGTCACTGGAGCCCCTCCTCCATCACCCCCGCCGCGCCGCCCCCGCGCGCCCCGCCGCGGCCGCGCCCCGCCGCGGCCGGCTGCCTGCCGTTGCCGCCCCGCTTCTCCGGCTGCAGGGTGTCGTGCTGCCGGCACACCAGCTGCAGGCCGCCCTTGATCTTGAGGGTCAGCGCGATCTGCTGGCTCCGGCGCACTGCGTCCGCCTTGCCCATGGCAGGGGCCAGGTCAAACCAGAAGCGCGACAGCAGGGACACCAGCACAGTCCGCACCTCCATCAGCCCCAGCGCCTGCGGCGTTGACGAGGTCGTGTTTGTTGTGGGAGGAGGACAAGGGTCAGGAAGAGGATGTGGTTTATGATTTATGATTGGGTTGAGAAGTTGGAGGGGCTTTAGGTTTAGGATTGCTACAGCGTCCCGCAACCGCATTCTGGAGCCATTGCGTGTGAAAGAGAGGGGGTTTTGTGGTGAGGCTATTGTGCGCGCAGTGCGATATGGCAATGTGTAGGGGTGAGGAGGTCTGCCAGTCAATTCCTGGCAGATTTTTGGCCCTGTTAGCAATGAGTAGTGGATAATACACTTGTAAATTGTTGGAGGGAGGAAAGATATGCAAGTGTTGTTTTGGCGCGGGGAGTGGCAAGGAGAGTCGACTCGGTGGCAGGGGCAGAAGAGCGACCGCGGCGCAGCGGCGCTTCAGCGCCTGGCAGAAGAAAGACTCCACATGAGCCATCACACCGATTCCACAAACCCAAGCTGCCCGAGCCAAACAACAGTCCATCTGCCCTCGGGCTGACCCGCGCAGCCCTCAGGGCTCGTGCAGGCGCTTCCGAGCATCCGACCCTGTGTGCGTGCGGGCCGCCGCGGCAGCCGGCCGGGCCCACCTGCCCCAGGCAGTTCTTCAGGCCCTCGCTGAAGGGCATGAAGCGCCGCGCCCCGCGCTGCTGCGCCGCCTGGGGGCCGCCGCCGCCCGACCCGTCGCAGCCGCCGCCCTCGTCGTCCGCCGCGGCTGTCGCCGCCGCTGGGCCCGCGGGGTCGTCAGGGGAGGCGGGGGAGGGCGCGGCGCCGCCGGGTGCGGCAGCGGCCTGTGGGGGCGGTGGCGGCGTGAAGGCGGCGTCGCGGCTCTCCAGCCAGCGCTCCTGTTGAGAGATTTGTTGAGGAATTGCTTGTCATTGATGGGGGTTCTGTGACAAAGCCACGCGTGGGCAAGTGCACGAATGATGTGCGTGGTAGCAAGCAACCCCAAGATATGCACCTTCCTGCGCTAAAACCTCGAGCCCCGCACTGGATGGGCCTCCGCCACACCAACGCCGGCCCCATGCACGGCCGCTGCAGCCCCGCACGCGCGCGCCTCTGCTCCATGCCCGAGTCGCCTGCAACTTGACAGAATGGAAGCATCCCGGACCATGCGCCCCCTGCAGCGGCCCCCACCGCATGGCGAGTGCTGGCGCCAAGGCCCACCGGCATGAATTCTCCCGGGCTATCCCAGTTGTGCGCCGCGTTCTGCAGGGCGTAGATCATGGGCCACACCACGATGCCGGCCGGCACCTTGTAGGGGCCGATCTGGGTGGGGGCGGTGGTCTCC